CTTGTGATTGCATGTCAAGGAGTAGCAGCACCACTGGGAGACGAGTGGGCTGAACTACGTGGAGATTCACTTGAGGACCGTATCAATGCTGTGCGAGCGATTGCCCGAGATCTGGAAGCGACGTGCGTCCAACAATACAACTTGTTGCAACAATTGTCGGACACTGTCCCTCTCGCCGACATCGTAAGCCGTACAGACCCAAGAAGAAATACCGATAGCGAGCTGCCAAACCACACCCGGGGCCCGTCCGGACCTGAGAGACCATTACTTGGCAACATCCCCAAGGCAGACACATACAGTGCAGGCACACCTCTCGACGAAGGAAAGGTTGAGCCGGTCCGATCTGCAAATAGCAACAAGAAACTCAAAGACTTCTTTGGTGAAGTTCCAGTGATCCCCCAACAGGCAATTGAAGAAACACCAGAGTATTTGAAGCTCGACCATGAGGGCGAAATATCCTATGATCACAAGTCTACACCACCCCAACTTAAGGGTGGTACTCTGGCTGGTCTCGTTGAGCAACTGACACGTCATGACCGCCTCGACCCAGCATTCAACAACACCTTCTTACTCACGTACCGATCGTTTACCACCGCTTCTGAGCTGTTCGAGATGTTGGTCAAGCGATGGAGTATACAACCACCTCATGGATTGGCCAAGGAAGACTATCAACACTGGGTAGACAAAAAGCAGAAGCCGATTCGATTCCGAGTTGTAAACATTCTCAAGAGTTGGTTCGATAACTACTGGATGGAGGGCAACGATGAGGAGGCACGGATCCTCATTCAACGGGTGTACAACTTTGCAAAGGACCACGTTGCGACCACTAGCACCCCAGGAGCGGCACCCCTGATGACATCTGTTGAGCAACGATCTCGAGGGCCAGACATGCCTACAAAACGCTTAGTTCTCACCTTGAGCGCTCAAACACCGCAGCCTATTCTACCGAAACACATGAAGAAGCTGAAGTTCTTGGACATTGACGCAACGGAATTCGCTCGACAACTCACTATCATCGAATCTAGATTGTACGGCAAGATTCGTCCGACAGAGTGCTTGAACAAGACATGGCAGAAGAAACTTGCTCCAGGCGAGCCTGACCCAGCCGCAAACGTCAAAGCGCTTATTCTACACTCCAACCAGTTGACGAACTGGGTTGCACAGATGATTCTCACGCAGCAAGACGTCAAGCGCAGAGTTATTGTCATCAAGCACTTTGTCAATGTGGCAGATGTAAGGCAACTAACGGATTTGTTTGAAAGTAGTGTCTAACACAGTCCAGAAATGTCGCCAATTGAACAACTTCTCCACACTAACCTCTATCATCTCAGCACTAGGAACTGCACCCATTCATCGCTTGAACAGGACCTGGAGCGCTGTTAACCAACGCTCCATGGCAACCTTGGAGAGCATGCGTAAGCTCATGGGTAGTACCAAAAACTTCGCAGAATACCGAGACACGCTACATCGGGCGAATCCACCCTGTATACCCTTCTTTGGTATGTAGCTTTCGACCAAAACTTTTGCATCAACTAGCTAACCCGTCTAACTAGGTGTTTATCTCACTGATCTGACCTTTATTGAAGATGGTATTCCCTCTCTGATTAAACGTACAAACCTTATCAACTTCGCAAAGCGCGCCAAGACAGCCGAAGTCATTCGCGACATCCAGCAATATCAGAACGTGCCCTACCCACTACAACCGGTTCCCGAGCTGCAAGACTACATCCTCACCAACATGCAGTCTGCAGGCGATGTGCACGAGATGTATGAAATGAGTTTAAGCGTCGAGCCAAGGGAACGCGAGGATGAAAAGATTGCAAGGTACACTACCTATTTCTCCTTTGATCGTACAAAGACTGGACTTGAAGGATAGCAAAAGATATCAACCCGCCACGCGAGGAGCATACGATAAACAAGCGGATATGAATGCGTCTTTTGGAGAGAAGATGGGGCTAACGGCGTTTTAGGCTTCTCTCCGAGAGTGGATTCTTGTGATGAGACTGTGACAAATGACGATGATACCCCACACGAAACACTAGCATTGTTGGCTCAAAGGATTTTGGAGTACTTGAATTATTCAAGGGCGTTTGCTATATTGATTTACCCTAACGATGGAATGAAAAGAGTTGGATCTTCGTGGAACTTTGGTTTTTGCTCTCTTCGGTACTGGCGTAGAGCGCTTCGAGCGGATGCGTATAATTTACCTCTCCGGTCTGCAGAACCGGTAAGCTCCGTCTTTCACGGCACATTACGATGGGCGATTGCGGTTGGGAAAATCTTTACTCGTTATAGGCAGCGGAACGGCATCTGTTGTCGATGATGTATCCGCAGGTTTATAGCAATTCTACACCCTGTAGTGACATGTCACTCCGTTTAATCAATCACTGTGGCGTTCGTTGTTCACGTTTTAGACCCTGGATCCATACGGTATGTATTTCTAGACGCGGTCCTCGTGTTGTAAGCTCGTGGCTAGACTGGGGCTCGTGTTTGACTATTGGGCGAGCGGCGAAGAGATGCTCGGCGCTTCTATTCTACCTCGTATCGCCGACAATCCCCTGACTCTGCGACTAGGGTGCCGATCTAACGGAGCGATTCTGGGTCTTGAAGTGACGGTGAGGAAAACACATGTTCACGATAGTTTTGTGAGTTGAGATCGTCGCTTGTGCTGCGGGTGGAAGTCGGTATACTGATATTTGTGCGTGTTAAGACTGGGGGGTTGCGCACTTTCAAGTTGTCATGACCACTCGTACCCGAAAGTTAAGACTAAGTTTATTTTCTCCCGGTGTTTAAACAAGTAGTCGAGCACATATAGTTCACGATCATCACCTAGATTTCTGCGCTTGTCCCCTAAACCACTGAAGGTGGCTGCTTGCTCGTGTGACTCTCGCTGCAGAGTGCAACTTGACACGCTCAGTCACTGTGGGTTGGAATGCGTATCCAAAACATCGCGGAGCGCTTCGTACCCGAGTATAAATATGTCAGACTACTTTGGTGCTGGCGGATTGTTGCTCTCGTGTTTCCTCCTCGGCGGATCATCCTTTGCGGCAATTTCAATTTGGGGCAGGAAGAATATCCACCCGACGTGAGCATCGTGACCTTGAACTAGCAGACTAAGAAACGGTGCTTGCTAATGCGCGCTCACAGACCATGGCAGCTTACAGTAACATGGAACATGGTACACATCCTGAGGTTGCATGCAAACCCCGACTTCGCCTCCGCAACGATCATCAAAGCACCCAGCCCAGTGACCGGCGGCCTTATGGAAGACATGCCCCAGACTTCTATCCTTCCATGGCATCCGCATTTGCTGTGCTAGTTCGGCAAGAGCAGGCCGTCTTATGAATGACCCGATTTGTCGATGCCGACCGCCGCCGGTCGAGGATCACCCTCCTATGAAACCTGAAGGAAATTACCCACAAGGGAAAATCGCCAAATGAACGACAGCCGTTGCGCAATTAGTAGTAGCATACCCCAGCTTTTCATGTTTCTTGCCTGTCAGAAGACACGCGCGCACGGTGCGGTGTGCAACCGACGGTGCTTATGACATAATGCCGAGGGGGTGACAATGCTCGTCGGGACTTGGATCCACGCATGAAGTTGGTAAGAGAGAGCTTGGGCGGGTTGTTGCTTTCGCTGGGCCTTGGTGTTGTGGGATCCGAGGTCTGCCGGAACGGGGAATAGGGGTGTCGTGGTTGCTTGTGCGCCGGTAGTGGGTGGTTGATCAACAGCAAACAAGACCAGAAGCACATTTGTCGATCTATACCGCAAGATAGTCGTCATAAAATTGATAGACACATGCTCTTTGTCCCACGACTCCTCGCGCGGAACCGTTGGAAATGTCATCAGTGATGCGAACAAGGCCTCGTACCCCCTGCTACTCGCTAAGTTCGCTTGATAGCGGTGGGTAATTTCTTGCTGCACAATGCAGGCATCGTGCTGCCCTGTAATCAGGCGTGCACGGAAACGGTGCGGTAGGGGCGTTTTCTTCGCCCTGCGATACGTTCGCTATTTCCCGAGGTATGTCACTAAGAGCGGAAAAGATTTCAAAGGATGCAGAGGATGCATGGCGCTCGTGAGCTGTTACTCGTCTAAGACGCCCGCAGCATTTAGCATGTGGCATCTGGAACAGGAGATTTTGCGACAAACATGGCAGGTTTAGGAGAGGAGCCATATGCGCAAGCCTTGGGATAATGAAGAGATGTGTTGGGCGCAATCTCGATCGTGACTGGGTAGAGACAAGGGAATAGCCAATCAAGGAGGTCGAGGTAGTGCGACGGCTGTGGTGGACGCTGACCAGTCGATGCACATTCCTGCTCCGAGCCTCTGAGGGGTTCGAGGGATAGTGCATGTGTTATCGCGCCTCTCAGCGTGGGTGACAGGAGCGGAGACAGCTGGGCACAAAGGGAAACACGAGTGAGGTCTCGTGGAGAGGGTCCTTATCACCAGCCGCCGCCAGCCTTGTCGTACCAGTAGCTCCCTAGATACTTCCTACTCAGCCACCGTCTCCCAGCCATAGTCGGTACTGTCCAGCTGATGAAAGTTCGTTCCTGCATACAATACGCCGCTGCTATTGACATTTGGCCCTGGAGTAGCGGCGCCGGGCCTGCGCTACTCGTCTTAGCCCGGACTTGGTCACTTCTGGCGACCCACAAAGTTACCTCGTACACGTTATTTCGGTGGCATTAACGGTCGATCCCTGAGGAAAATAGCGGAGGCGCCCAGGCCCCAAGCTCGACGTGGGTGGTTCCTGCGTCCGTAATTGCACTGCTTTGGGCGGACGTGCCGGACTTTGCCATTCTGCACGAGAGAGGCCCAGCAGTTCATCATCAGCCTTTGCGCTGCCTGCCATCTCGCCGTCCGACCTCTTTTACTTTTGGCCGGCCTCATTACAACCACCCCTCTGCTCGCCTTCGCACGCTCTCCAGCTATTTTCTTATTTGTTCAACAGAAGGGTTTCACCCTTTACAGTCACTCGCTTTAATACACTAATTCCCACGATGTTCTCTCGCGGTACTTGGGGGGCCTCGCCCTGGGTGTTATTACTCGCCATGGCCCGCTTCTGTAAGTAGACTCCTCGCTTGCGACCGCAGAACCAGTCCTCAACAGGCTCTCGTGCTGACCCGTCATCTTCAATTAGCCAACGCTGCTTGCGAGTGTGGTTATTCGGTTAATGCTACAACCGACCCTTCCTATGCCGTCTTCACCGAGCTCATGGAGAATGACTTTCTACATACATCGACCGACGATCTGAAAGAGGTTGGCTGGCAGCCCCAGGAATACAATGTTACCTCGAAAAATGCTAGAGGGCCATTTGGAAAGAGTATGGAGTTGACCAACATCGTTACAAACCCATTCAAGAAAGGATGGTCCGGTGAGGCTGACCACGGTGGAGACGCGGGACTCGAGTTATGGGTACGAGGAGATCACCAAGATGGTCTCGTGAGCGGTGCTGAGCTCGTCACTATGCGCAACGACTCTCTCCTTGGAAGCTTCCGTGTCGGCATGAAGCTCTCGAATTCGTCTGGAACCTGTGGCGCTTTCTTCTTTGTACGTTCCTACTCCACGTTGAACCGCGTTTCAGAGTTGGCTAACAAGCGTAGTACCACAACAACTCGCAAGAAATCGACATGGAATTCCTTTCCCATCAGTTCAACAACTCCCAAGGCGCCGTAAACCTCGTTCTTCAAAGCCCGGAATCAGTTACGCACGGTTACGCTGCTCAAGGAACGAATGGTTTCGAAGTCATGGCTCTCCCTTTCCGTCCGGATGAGATGTTCCACGAGTACCGTTTTGACTGGACACCCAACCGTGTTGCCTTCTACGTTGATGGCAAACTTCTTCACGAGATGACCGAAAATATCCCTACGGAGAGCGGCGGTATCTTCCTCAACCACTGGAGCAACGGCGACCCATCTTGGTCTGCAGGACCCCCCGATCAAGACACGGTTATGACCATCTCGTACATGAAGGCGTACTTCAACTCTACCGATACCGAGCGCTCGCAAAACGACTACAGGGACCGTTGCCCAACATATGACCCTGCGAAAGTTTGCGCCATCCCCAACCAGATGAGCCCGCCGGATCAGAGTCAGGGCGTAGACGCAGCGAAGACGTACTTCTTCTCAACAGACGGAGACGACATGACACCAGGTCAAACAACATTTACTGGTAGCGCGAGCAGCATGTTCAGCGCGCCGTCGTTATCGCTCGCAATCCCATTACTCGTCACGCTACTCAGCTTAACACTGGGGTGATGAATTCCTTTGGAATACTTCTCCCACTTCTTGCCACAAGGCCCTCGTTCTCAGAAGTCATCGACTGAGAACTTTTACGAGCATACGACTACATTTACAGCGTTCTTGGAGTAATGCGACTATTGCAGTCCAATTTTCACTTTCATTTCGACCTCTCACCGAGCCCGTGTTCGGCCACCTTTTTCTTTGATTCGGCAACATACTCATGGCGCAGCACCGCCTATAGTGTCTTCCTTTTTTTTCACTTCACTTCTTGTATATACCCTTTGCACGGGACTCTGCGCAGTCAGCCCGTTTGCCTACGCCCTCTGCCCTAGTCCGGCAACGGCCTTTCCTCTACCTCGGCCCATCGTGGCAGAGATTTTTATTGTATCGGAGTGCATTCCGTCGGGTGTTATCCCAACCATCCTATCGGTCCTCATACCCCCATCTCACCATCGGCTGTCTATACGACCGCGTCGCCTGTTTTTTTGCATTGGAAAGAGAAAAGAATCGGAAGATACCATCTTAGACCATTACGCGTCAATATATCCTAGCCTACCAAAGCTACTGTTACAGAAATTACAATTATATCTCGTACTACATTCTGATCTACGTCTTTGTCAAGGGATATAGCCTTGCATCTCAACTTTTTGCAATGATCCTAGTTTGCAACATGCGTACCTTGCATTCGCGCAAGCACTACTACTTACCTAGTACCGGAGGTAGAATATTTCACTTCTGTTCTGTGGAGTTGACTACAGTAGCGGAGCCTCACTCCGGAAGTGTCGGAGGACCCTCCAGCGTCCCTCAGGCGGTCGGCCAACAGCGCCAATCAGACGCGCCACACAAGCCTATCGAATCTCGTGCAGTTTGTCGGGACGCGTCTGTGGTGTTATTCCCGCGACGCGCATGTCCACAGGGCGACTTCGCGATGTCCGAGAGTATAGCCAGCCAGCCAGCCAGCCAGACCGCATTATCCGACGCCTTCTGCCGTAGCATCTCAGCTTACTTCCAGACCATCGACACAAGCCGAGGCCATGAGGCTGGAAACACTACCAGACACTCCTTAGGTCAGCTTAATGCAGTCCGGCTCCGCGCCAAAATCCATCTGTGGCGTCTGCCGGTGCGTTTCGGTACTTGGGTTAGCAGCAAGTTGGTAGTGTCAGTCCAGTGACGTAAAACTGCCCTTGCAAGTCGGCGCCGTTGGACTCCGGGGCTTTGACTTCTAGTTCTGATGTTGGTGGAGCGACGGTTCCTGAGGACGGTCCAGGTACTCCCGTGTTAGTGGGGTACAGAGGCTATTGGAGGCAGTGGCGTGAAGATATTCTGATTCCACTGAAATATTGCTGAGCAGACACAATCGCGATGTGAGTTTTGCTATTTTCTGATGTGACTTGCTGAGACCGTGGTTCCGCGGAACTTATGTCTTTTTGTCTTTCTTCGTCTGCAAGTGTTCGGGAGGGGACCCGAAGCCCACGCGCCTTCGGGAAGGCCTGCTCAGGTGTGTGCGCGACCCCCTTCCTCCAATTGTTCTCCTGCATCCTTCGTGCAGAACAAGCGTTCTGTTAGCGCCGGGCTTGCCTCTCCCGGGGAAGCAATAAAAGCTTGTTTGTATTTGGCATTTCTTAGCTTGCCGGTATGCTACTATGAACGGGGCCGTGTTGTCACGACGATCTTTATTGATAGCTTGCGTGGCGACACTACAATCCGTTCAAAGACTATGGTATGTAGTAGCACAAAACGAACACTAGCACTCTGTTTGACCGGGGCTCTCTCCGAAGCTGGACATGCGAAGAAGCTCCTTCGTGGTCACTACGTGCAATGCACAGCCATGAGCTCGAACGCTGCTTCGCGAGTAAGCTATTCAGATATCTTGTACTTGAACCATTGGTAGACTTTTGTTTGATCTTGGCTTCTGGTGCTCAAGAAGCGATGAAATCAGAAGCTGGTGCAGGGGGCATTATTCCACTTCATTCTCTGTAACCAGGCTATCAGTCATGACTTCGGGTGTCACTTCATCGAAATGTGGCCCATCGTACAAGAGCTACACTTTTCATCAGCTATTTCAAGAAGTTGCGGTAGATTTGGAGGTAGTTGTTGCTTACCCGCAAGGAGAGCCGCTCCTTCTTCCATGGCTCAGGGTTCAGTCGTTGCGTTTGTATCCTCGTAGCAGAACTTCAACACTGTAGCTTTTCAGCCACACACTCGTTTGGTTCCACCCTCCTTTTGGATTCAGCAGCTCTCGCGCGTCTCTAGGTCCTTGACTTTTGGCTTGTTTACCTTCTACCTATCGCTTTTTCTACCGCACATCACGATACATTTTCATTTTCAAGTGACATCCCACCATTGCAAATATTCTCGACGCGACTGTGCCGCCGGTGGATCTTTTCCCGCCTGCCTCTTGCGCCTCTAGTATACTTTGTCTCGTCCTGTTGGTCTGCTTAACACCGAGTCTGCATTTCGGTTTCAAGCTCGCACAAACGGAAACGACTCGTGGTCGATCACTCTTTCGTCCATCCCCCAACCTCCCACAAGATGCGATTCCGGACACCCCTCGCTTTGATACTACCGGTAATGGTGAACGGTAGGCTCTTCGCCGAGTCGGAGTACCTGCAAGACTTTGAGGATGACACGACGACAAGCGCGACCCCAGCTTCGTTGCCTACGTCGAGTCTGCCCGCTGTGACACCCACGGGCCATTCGAAAGGCATTGAGTAACCACACACTGTAAGAAACTAATGCGCTACAACAGCTACTGACATGATTTAGACTTCGTCAGGCACAGGGCATTGCTCAAGTACGTGGTACACCACCTGATCAGCAACCGCGTGCCCCGATCATAGTGACTGTAACAGCAACTGCAAAGCCTGTCACTACTGTCAAGCCTATACCACCGCCAGCTCCCGTACCTCCGGCTCCTGTACCGTCCGTCAACGTTGCTGGGACAGCGGATGCAGATATCACGCGCTTGGCGGTACCTACTAGTACATTCAGCAACGTGCCCTTCTACACCGTAGTATGGGCTGAGACATGGATCGGCGGAACATATTCAACCTGGTGGCCACACACCATATCCCTCGACTTCGAGCCTGCACAAACGCATGTTCCACTCCCAGGAGTAGGCGTGATCGGTATGGGCACGTTGACTGGTAGGACCGGTGTAACGCGAACCGTCGTAGTAAATTCTGCTCCTACATCAGGATTAGGTTGGTCTAAGGGTCTCGCTGCAGTCGTCGGTGTTGGCATGGCGGGAATAGTCGTATAAGATTATGGGATGAACACAAACACTTAAGGGGGAAGGGTGGAAGCCCAATATTACTCTACGGAGCGCAGATCTGGAAATACAGCATCGTCACATATGAAGCACGAACGATTAACGAGACATATTTACTATACGAAGTATGATAACGATTATGAGCATGGGAAGCAACATAGAAAAGTAGGCGATTGTTAATGTAGACGACTTTTAGTAACATTGCGAGAATTTTACTGATGCTGATATCAGAAGTTGCCAGTGTACTTTCACTACATCACCGTTTGGTATGAAAACGAGAACTAGGAGCAATGACCAAGGGAGAGGTTGTGTTGAAATGTCGAGTCGACGGAAATGTGATGGAAGAGGTTTTTCTGACCATCCATGTGCAATTGGTGTTGTGTATGCCTCATGCCGTGATCCCACACTTCTGTCCATCATTCTTTACGATACTGTTGACTGCTCCTCGGGTTTCCAAAGACTTCGCAAGGAGCTTAGTCGTTGCAGGCAGTGCGCCACTGAGCGTTCCAGGCGCTCACGTCAGAGAACTTTCCACCAGCGTTGCAGCCCTTGTCTTCGAACAGCGGCTTAACGTCCTTGCAGGATGAAGTGCAGTCACCTCTGTTGTCCTGTAATTCTAGTTAGTTTTGTCTTTCTCCTCAAAGGTCTCAGGATGCTTACCGCGATACAGCAGTGGGAACCATCCGAGTACAAGCACTGGCAGTACAAGCCGGCCTGGGTACCAACGGCCATGGTAAGAAGCAGCCCGATGACAGCTGAGAAGCGCATGTTGGCGGTAGGTTGAGAAAGTAAGGTAGATGATGATAGACTTGGTTCCAATGGATGTAGGAACTGTGGTTTAACTAATCACTGAGGCAGGGCTGTCAAGGTGTTTTATAGTGTTACGACTACGTGAAAGTATGACAACGTGCTCAGCCTCGGTGACACTTGTGTCAATATGTCGGTCCATAAACTCCACGACCCAAGTGTAGTAGTGCGGTAATCGCCATTGTTTCCTTGACACCCCGAGTGTTGAGCAAAATACGAGTGCGCTAGTAGAGGAAGCCATGCGATCAACAGTGTGCTTACCACATAGAGTCGTAATATACCTCGTATAACATCTCCACGTGTTGGGTGGGTCTGTTTGATCTTGGCTGAGAGGAGAAGCTCACCTAAGACAAGAGGGCTATTCCAAGGGGTACTCACATGAGTGACCGAGATATCGTCGAGATACTTACCGATGAGGCTTTGGATCACCACCATTGATCACGATGTGCGGTGTGTTCAACGCGATGAGGGAAGGATGCCGAGATTGGTACCTGGTTAAGCAGGGCTTGGAAGGTCCGAGAAAGGTACACCAAAGGTCCGAAAACAGCCCCATCGACCCCAATCCGGGTTCTCGGCCATTGCACAACACCAGTTCCGAAGTTGATCGTAGTGAGTGTAGTCAACAGCAACACGTTAAAGTCTCAGCGGTTCCGCGTCTCTGGTAAGGACATGAACCAAATCATCGGTACCTCTTCCGCGACTCTAAAAACACTATTTCAACTACCCCTCGTCTCTTCTCAGCTGTCATAATGGTCCGCATTACCTCCGTCGCTGCGTTCATCTTCGCTTTCGCCTTTGGTGTTCAAGCTTCTCATACCTGCCAATGCTTGTTCTCTGACCGTTCGCACTGCTGTGCCAGCACCGTAAGATACTTGAAGTCATTAAGGAACTAAGGATAAAGCTGACCGGAGTCTTGCTCCTTTACAGAGTGCTTATGGTGGCGAGGAGAGATGCGAAGATGTCTGCATGAATGCTAAGCGAAACAAGGACGGCGCTGCTTGCGCTGCTGGTGGTGCATGGTCCAGCGTCAGCGCCTGGAACGTCCAGTTCCGCGAGCCATGCGAGTAAGTATCCCTTACGCCAAGTGCAGTCCTATTGTTGACTCTTTGAAGGGTTGGTTCCACTAGCACCTCCTAGATGTAGAATATGGTATGTGCGCTGTGTATAGAAAGTAGAGCGGTGATGCATGTGGGTCGTTTCAGGAGTAGGGTAGGAACAAATTCCACCACCATAGATAATCTCCCATATCTTTCAATGTGCAATCATACTTTCTATAAAGTACCAACCCGATGATGGTTGCAATCGTGAAAAGTGACGCGCGAAAAGATGAGAGCTTTTACTTCTACGCTGGTCTAAAGGAGTTGGTCAGCACACGTGATGTCAGCCTCGGGCCGTTGATGCGCGTAATTGACCTACCGATGCGCGCCAACACAGATCAGCAACGTGAGGATGCAATGTGTTCTGCTTACAAGGGAGCCCTTGAGACGCCAGCTACATTAGGAACATGGGTGCAGAAAAATGCATGTCTATCCAGATGGGTCTGGATAATGCAAGGAACGCAGCTCAACAAAGGGCGGTGGAGTGACGCCTAGAAATGTGGCGCGACATTCACGCTACTTGCAGACGATCCAGTCCCGTTTCGGTCCGAACTTTGGAGAGCTTAACGTGACGGCACGTCAACAGCAGTACTGTTGATAAGGTGATTGAGCTGAATACTTCGGATGCCCTGCTTCGTATAAAGATCCAATTCCTCAAATGGAGTCTCTGCACATCATCTAATCGAATCAACAATCTATCAGTCAGTTTAACATCAGCGAAAGCCACCCGATAGCGGAGTGCATCACCCGATAAGGAAAGACAACGAACCAAGCAGTCAGCAGCGAACAGCATACCGTTATAGGACAAGAAACATCTACCCTAGTTGAATCACGAGAAGAATCAGCTTACGTGAGTTATTCACTGCTAAGGGTCAACACTCAAAGACACATCAACTCGACGGAATTCCTCGAACACGGCTACAAATCAACCACATTCGATTTAGCCTCCGAAAAGACTCGCAAAGTAGCGAAATCAAAAGACATGGCAACAGCATATTACTTCGCAGCGCACTTCAACATGCCCGGAAACCATGCAATGAACGAGCCCTGGTTCCCTGCCACTACGCTTTACAATGTGTCGCCGCTATCGCCTGTTCTGATCGGGCAAGCGGAAGCCCAGATCCAGCCTACTCTGTCAACACAACTCGCGACGACAACGACAAGAACAACAACAACAACAACAATGAGAAATAATGGAACAAACAACCAATCGACTTCCATCTTTTTCCGTCTTCCAGCGGAATTACGCAATCAAATCTACGAAGAGCTCCTCTGCCCCAACACACCACATCACAAAAATCTAGCCACGTATTCTACGCCATCGAAGCCACCAGCTGTTTACCCAGCTATCCTTCAAACATGTCGCAAGGTACATGAAGAAGCCCAAGATCTTCTTTACACAACACATGTCTTCCACGCCCACCGGTCCCTCTTGACCGCTCTGCCACATCTGATCTGCCCAGAGAAGCCAATCTTGTCTCAATCTGGCATCGCAAAGATCAATCGCTGGCAACTTGAACTACGTCTGGATATCGATCCCCGGTTCACTAGCAGTCAAGCTACGGCCGCATTCTCCGGTGCTGAGTTTTTAGAAGTGAAGGTTTGGCAGAGCATGTTTGACGGGGCTGATAACTCGCACTTGAGGCTGTTCACTGGTGTGAGAGGAGTAGGGGTTGCGAAGGTTACCGGTTGTGATGATGAGGGGTTAGCGAGGTGGTTGGAGGCGAGGATGATGATGCCGATTGAGCAGGAAGTAAAGAATGAAGGGGGCTGTTGTCAGTGTGGCAATAAGGTGGGTGGGGACATGACATGGTTTGGTGCGGCCAGAGATCCTTGGACCTTTGGAAACAGATAGAAAGAAGGTGGAAAGTGTTGGGTCAAGAATAGACGGCGACACGGAAATGGTCATTTAGGTGGAGTGATTTGTGTGGTAACTTCGTTATTGGTAGATGTCCAAATATAGAGCGCTTTGAATAGAGAATCGAACAATTACTTGCTCAGGTCATGAAGTTCCTACGGTTTTTCCACAGATGCCTGCTGTGATTGCTGTTCTTATTGATGGGTATCAAGGGGTTGGAGAATGTATAATGTACAAAGGAAATCTCGCGGAAGCCCACACTTTGATCCGGGATGTTACGTCTACGTCATCTACCGCAGCTCTTCTCTCTCGTCCTCTCCGTCCTCTTCAATCCTGGCGCAGGGAAACGCGCACTCCATTGTTCTTTCCCTACTTCCCCTCCCACTCTCGACCCACATGCCTGAGTTGCACCAGGCGTCAGGCCTCAGTCTCTTACTTCCGCCCTCTGTCGCCCAGCTCACGCCATCAGACTCGAAGATCAGCGCATCATCCCCATCAGTACCGTGAATGGTCAGGCTAGTGTCATCCAACAACCCCGCAATGGTGAGTACTTGCTTCGCAGAGATTTTTGTGTACGAGTTGCGCTCAGCCCGTGGTCTTGAAGAGGCGACGTCGATGGTAAGCCCATTGGTATGATCCTCCAAACTGTCGATTTGGATGTAGTTGATCTTGCCCTTGCTTGCCGATTTTGGTTTAGCAGCGGTGATAAGTTGCTTGTGGAGAAGAGTGAAGGTGCATTTATCGGCTAGAGATGTAGCGGATGTCGATAATAATGACTGTGCGTCATCGCGAGGGAGGATGCGTGGAGGTTGGGGAGGTACAACGCGGGCTGCGCATGGCGACAATGCGAGGAAGAGGACCGATGAGAGGATGGCAAAAGTATTGACGTGCATTGTGAAGACCTGCTTGCGAATGCTTTGTGTGGTTGTGTATTGGGTTTGTAGTTGTAGAAGCAGAGTTGATGACAGTCAGTCAAGAGATAGATGACACACGGATAGCCGGATCCAAGGCCAGCTGTGTGATTCAAGTAAGATGCGCAGAAGGTGAATGTGAATGGAGATAGTGGTAGCGCTGAACAAAGGTACCTTTGTACCTCACTGCAGGCTGTGGAGAGGTATTGTTTCAGAACAACTACGGCGGTCTACCCGCCCTTCACCCTGTCTATCGCGTTTATCACTGCTATTCTTGCTCGGCGGGCCCCGCTTGAGTACCTGATGGGGTCATGCGGCGGCTGGGTGCAAGGCTGATGCGGGGTTGCGGCGCAGACGCGTCGGATAGAGTGCTTCAGCGGGAGCCGGGCGGCAAGCATCCACACTGTGCAATGAGATGGATTCTTGAGCCGCAAGGAATGCGAAGACGTCCAAAACTAGATATGTGCGGGCGGCGCGGGTTTCTTTGTGCTGGGCAAACTTACGTGAGGTCGGCTCGGTACAGTATGGGTTGATGCGAGGGAAATTAGGAGCGACGCGATGAGGTCACGATCGTCAGGGAAGGCAGAAGACGTTCAATCTGTGCGCATATCCAGGAAGCTTGACAGCGAAAAAAGATGACTGTTTGTGCTGTTGCATGTGTCATGGCTGCGCGTTGTCTTCACAACGGTGTCAGCGTAAGGGTCCATGAAGTTGGGCCGGACGTGCGCAGGGGCAGGAAAGGGCAATTTCGGGATGCCGATTCGGTAGGCGTGGGGCCGAGCGTCCTGAACTCTGACGTTGAGCACACAACAAGGTGCAATTCGTCATCCCGCCTACTTCACGATCAAACACGGCCGTTGCAATGTCGCGCCCTTGCCAGCAACGGCGCTCGAGTGCGGCTGCGAATCGCAAATCCAGGGGCTCCAAGCCAACAGGACCTCCCCCCATCAGACACAAAGCACGACAAAAGGCGATACACAATGCTCGACACGGGCGCGGCGGAGGACGTGGCGGAGCGCGCGGCGGAGCGCGAGGTCGAGGCCGTGGCGGACAAGCAGGCGGTCGTGGCGGTCGTTTTGCACAGAAGAATGGCAGGAACGACTCGGAACAAGATTTCATCCCTCTGTCCTCTGGTGGGAATAATTTCGAGGCGCTGTACCGGTCCAGCAGGCGGGACGACGATTTCGATCTGGAAGTGGATGGCGACAGCAGCGACTCGGAGGAGCTCCTTGACGAGGACATGTACGACGCCCAAGACATCGCCATCAATGTACAGGCGCCACCGCCTACGACGAGTAGAGGGAGACAACCAAGAGCACAAATCATGTTTACCGAGGCAGCCGCCGTTGCCGTATACGATCAGATCTATCTGCGCAACTTCCCACTGACTACGACGACGACCCGAGTGCGCTACCTCCTCTACCAGGAAGACACTTCTGCCGATTCGAGCGCATACATCTCCTTCGCGCCCTCCCCACTGTCCCGTCGATCGAGCATTAGCAGCGCCACCAGCGACGGTTCTATGAACGAACCACCAACACCCGAGTACAACCCTGCACGCGACTACGTGTGGACATTTGGAGCGCACAGCGGCAAGCGCTTCACGGATGTTCCTGACAACTACGTCAAGACGATTGGCGGTCAGCTCTACAAGTACATGGACAAGCACGCGGGTCTCCTGGAAGCATTCGAATACCACAGGCCGGGACAAGCACGTCTTAAGCCACCACAGGCCGACCAGCCGCAGATCCAACCCCAACGGACCCAGGCGCAATCATCGCGGCCACAGCCACAGCCACAGTCACAGCCATCTCAATCACAAGCTCCTTCGGCGTCAGACACGTGGAGATTTAAAAAAGGCATTCACGAAGGAAAGCGGCTCCACGATGTCCCAGAAAATTACATAAGAACGCTGGAGAATAACCCGCTGGTTAGAAATGCCTGGCCTGGATTCAAGCAAGCAATCGAGGATTTCAATGCAAAGACTGGCAGACGGGGCCGGGTCTGATTGCACAATAGCTGCACAATAGCTACGACCTGGACGCACCTTCTACGAGCGTTTGTTGATGCGGCGGTCCAAGCGGCAATTTTGGGACTCACCTCACTCACCTTTGCGGCCAACGCCCTGCAACACCTCTTTGTCCGCATACCCAGATTCGTCTGACTGCGACTTTCTTGTACCACACTCTCCAATTTTTGCGCTCGCGAATGCTCACAGCTGTATCACATCTCACCCCGTCATGGCAAGTCACGGAAAACGCGCGCAACCAGATTCAGAAGCATCTCAGTCCAAATCGCGACGCCATACCAAGCGAAGGAGGGCAGCGCGATCCAAGACCGCGGGGTTGCAAGAAGCAGCGGACAACACAACTGCGCAGATCGACGTGCGATACATGGGGACCCAGCCAAAGATCCGGCAACCTACCGAGACCTTGCGAGCCAAGTCCTTTCCAGGCCAGATATCCCAATTCATTAATCTGACACTGAGTGATGAGGTGGAGGAGGGGTTCCCTACGTTTTCATCGAGATCTAAAGCTCTTCAACATCAAGCCGAGGAGCAAAGCCACTCAAGGTACGCTCTGCGTAGCAAGACGCTTGGAAACACTCGTGAACGCTTTCTAAATCCTCCCCATATGGCATCTGCACGGCCATTGGCTCACACGATGGCAACGCTGGAGCAGGAGCAATCAGAGCATCCCAAATCGGCAGGACAGCGCTTTCCAGAGAGAACCATAGATCAGAACGAAGGCGAAGAAAGATGGACCTTACCACAAAAGCCACTGGTACTTACACACCGCTTTAGTAAGCGCCCGCAAAAGTGGGAACAACCTGAACAACGGGTTTGGAACGCAGAAAGAGAAGCGACGAGAGAGGAGAGGACAACGGCAAGGTCAGCCAATGACACTTGGGAGCCATCGACTTCTACAGATATTATGTTCACGATCCCAGAGGCAATGACCGCACTTGTCCGGCCCCAGCTTGCAGATAGCATCGCCTACAACCTGCCAACTGGCGCATACATTTCGTATCCCGTCAAGAGGTCGTACCACCTGGGCGCCACGGGCAGGTATACCTGTCGCTCTGCATACTAGCCTTTTCTATTGCTACTCTGGTGCTGCTAAGCGCAACTCTCGTTTTAACGAACCCAGGTCAAACTATACCAAGGCCCATATCCGTCTTACTTGGTTTCAGGCCGAGCATGCGCGTCGATTGGGTGCGATGAGGAGGACATGTAACCTTCGCCCATTTGCCGTTCAAGAAATGGTCTTGAGTCTGACGTTTGCATGCCTGAAGATGGCAGTATGATGGATGGATAGGGATTTGAACATGAACATAATTTCTGGTCCGGAGTCGGATACTGTATTGTAGTCTCGCGGGCTGCTACCATGGCTTTGGCATATATGCAAAACGGTCTCCCATCATGGTTTTTGATGACGAGCAAGGCCAAGCTTCAGAAAATCAACTCAAATCATACACTTCAAACGAATGCGCACGTTTTAGCTATTTCAAAATCAGTGATCACTTGGATATGTCTCATCTAGAAGACAAGTCAAAACGAAAAGCTTGACATGTATGACGCGCGGGAGTGCTCTATTTTTGAAGATGGCTTAGCAGCAAACAGTATGTAAAGCCTCATCATCTGGTGTTGTTTCCCTTTGTGACAACACATCCTGTTCCAGAACTGCAAAATCTTGAGCTTGCCCTCGGATGCACATCCCTTCCTCTGAAATAGCTCGGTCAGCCGTTGGAATATCTGCTGCGACCGAATATTGTCTTTGATCTTGGATGCCTCGATATACTTCTCTTGTGTTACAAATTCAGAGGTGATGTACACATGTAGTGCTCCGATACCTGAGTAAACTACTACATGGCATTGTTGTGACACAAAGAAATTACATCAGATCAGCGTACCAAAATGAAACTATGGTTCACCAACATCCCACAAGAAAGCTTATTCTGAACAAGCATGCAATCCATGCCGGCACCGAGTATAATATACCCACAATTTCCAGTTGATGTTCGTAGTAGCTGTCAGCACTAGCCCCCTCGATCTCGCAAGCGCACGGTTCTCCACCCGACTTCGACCAACCAAACGAGCGCAATCAAGAGACCACCCCACAAAGCTCGCCTGTAGCCTTGACGCCCGCGATATGGGATGCGGCCTTATATTCTATTTCTAAGCACTTTGAAATGCTACTCGGTGTTTGTAAATAATGCTTGGAAATGCTGCTTTTCAATGCTTTTCAATGCTTCAAAGCTGAAGAAGTGGCGTACGAGATGTGACTATGCTGGATTTGGTGTTGGACGATAGCAGACCGGAGTAGGGAGGGTAAAGTATCGATGTATATAAGACGGGATGCAGGTGATGTGTTGATCATCAGCCAATTGTGAAGACAGCGAAGACTAGAACGACTACAACCCTTTCAGATCTTTTCTTGCAAAGCTTGTTCAATTTGAATCGCATCTGCCAACGCACATTATTGACATGGATCCTAACGCCTTTACCGCACCTTTTCAGGCCACCAAGACGCTTCGCCGTGATATCTATCCGACGATCGCCCCCAAGAACCCCGAGTTGAGTGCCAAAGGCAAGACCATTCTTATTACAGGTGCTACAGGTGGACTGGGTGGTGTATGTTAAAACCATAAAGCATTATCCCATATGCTCGCTAAAGTATGCTCTAGGAAGTTGCGCGAGCCTGGGCAATTGCCGGCGCAGAGGGCATCGTGCTCACAGGTCGCAATCAAGAGGGCCTCAAGGAACCGGCAGAGGCCATTGCATCGCTCAGCCCTTCTACCCGGGTGCTCTGCCTATCCGCCGACTTGACCAACGAGGCTGATGTCGAAGCGATTTTCACCAAAGCTGTAAGCCAATTTGGTACCGTGGATGTGGTACTACACGCCGCTGGGAGCATGGGCGGGGGACCGGTGGGCGACTTGCCTCCCAATGCTTGGTTCAGCGACTACGAGGTCAACGTCAAAGGCTCTTACGTCCTTGCGCACTACTATCTCAAGGCTGTAGCGGCTGGTACCCTTATCTTTGTTGGTACGCTGGGTGCATCGTTCACGTTTGCTGGTATGAGCTCGTACTCTGGAAGTAAGATGGCGTTGCTCAAGCTGGCTGAGTATCTGGATACTGGTAAGATCCAATTGATCTGAAAATCATATCGTCACTGACTCTCTGATAGAGAAACCAAATCTCCGCGTCTTTACCGTTCATCCAGGAATCGTCGCCGCGACAGAGACGCAGCGTGGTATGATCGTTGATTCGCTCACGCCCTTCGCGCTTGACAAGGGCATTCAGACAGGTGGATTGTCCTTGTATCTTGCCCAGCCTAAGGCAGATTACTTGAAGGGCTCTTTCGTCAGTGTGAACTGGGATCTTGACGAACTGGAGAAACACAAGTCGGAGATCACCGAGCAGAAGCTCCTAAAGCTTGCTTTCCTTGGTGCTAAGCTGGGAATCGAAGGCCATCCGTGGTCCAACTGACTAGAACGTATCTTATGAGGGAGGTGTGCGTTGGCTCCTGGGTAATTAGCGCAACCTGCTACGAGCAGAGAGCGAACAAATCAAGGCGCTATCCACCCAACCCTCGCCATTGGCCAGCTTATGTATGCTTTATGTTCGATAGGTAGCGCTTCGTAGATGCCACTCATAACATGATGTGTCCACCCTTTCATATACCAGAATTTCTCCAAGTCGTGCATGAGGACGACAAAGTGAGCGTAGATGATGAGCGGCAGCGGGTCGCATCGTTGAAGTCGGTCGAGAAAGTCCTCGCTCATGCGATAGAGCCACCCAAAAGCGACATGATATTCCCCATCTTTGCCACCGTAACGATTGGAATACATCTCCTGCAAGACCTCAACGCTACCCACGTTGTCATCACGGTCAGCGGGCTCGGAGACGAACTCAATATGCTCTTTCAGCTCCATTAACTGCTTTTCGTACTCGAATGGCCCGTCCGATGGTGGTAGAAGTCGACCTTTGCCACGAGTATTTGGCCCATGCGTCTTAGAGAAATGGTCTCTCGAGAGCGAAGTCAATGTTGTACGAATTCCACGAAACATGACCAGCCAGTCCGATCTTCCATGCTTGCCAAAAGCAAGGTACTCACCAGCCTGCGGTCCTCTTGCCCAGCTGACAAAGCAGATCATCTGAACAGATTGAAGGACCGCGTCACAGTTATCAGGACTGAGGCTGGCTATCTCTGGAGTAACGAGTGCGAGCGCGCGCTCGTAGTGGTAATCTGCAGTGGCGGTGTAGTGTTCTTTGCGGTTTGGGCGACAAACGGCGAGATGAAGAGCCGTAAACGCAAATATGAGGTGTAATACGTGCTGGTTCTTCATCGCGACTTCTTCGGTTAAAGCTTGTACACGAGCCACACCAGCAGGCCATGCTGAGAATGAGTGACATGTCGTCGTTGCCCAGTGGTATGTGAGTTCAATTTCAGATATCGGAAGGTCACCCGGCTCTCTTGGATCCACAAGTCCTGATGCGGCAGCGGAGGTCGCGGGATTGGCGGGATATTCGCAGCGAACTTGCCTTCGTTTACAGTTGGCACAAGATGGCTTGCCCTCGTCGCACTAAGCATGTTGTTAGCACGTTGAGCATGATGTCCAACTTAACCCCACATCCAATACATGTTCGCCATATTATATACATGCTCTAGAATTTCTCTCGCTTCTCGAGAAGAGTGTCGCGAATGATTGCGGCCAACACGTAATATACGTACCTTGATGCGACGTGACTTGCAATTTACGCATCCAGCCCGTGACTTGCGATGAGACTTCCTTGTTATCTTCGATCGTCTTGACGTGCCCCTTCCACTGTGGTCGGACGGAGAAGGCTCGCGTGAAGTTAGAAGGGACGCTCCCCTCGAGTCCGATGTGGCCTCCGTGAGTGGCGAGTCTTCCTGCATGTTTATGGTGCCGTCGCGTCGAAGATGTTGAGGCATCGGAAGGCGTATTCTGAGCGAGGAGCGCGTATCTTAAGAGAGACAACGGCTCCAGAGAGGCTTCGGCTAGCGGCCTACATCATCGCTTCTAGCGTCCTTCCATATTGCGTCGCTGGCCGCAGCATCGCAAACATCTCCAGGGAAAGACCTCTCCGAACACTAACTTGGCCGAACCCGCTCGACTCTCTTTCCCTTTTCAAACATCCTCTGCGCTTGTAGCTTCGCAATGAGTGTTCAGGTCGCGCGTCGATCGCCCCTCATGCGACGCGAATAGGCCCGGGCTCTTCTCCCCGATCGTGTTGCCAAGCCGCTAGCCATCGCATCGCTCGTGTTCTCTTAGAATACGCAGTTTCTAGGTATAGAAGTTTGGTGCACTCCTATCGTGCTCCACTTAGCAGGGCTAAATCTGCAGAGAATGACATGCTGCGCTCCTATTTATGAATTGCGCCGAATCTTGCCTAGGTAGGCCGCGTCGGCGGTTTGAGAGCACATATAACCCTACCATGGCCCGCTGCTCTGATCCACACTAACCCATCTACACCACTCTCCTTGCGACCTCAATCCCTAAGCCCCCAAACCCATTCGGACGCAACACAAACCATGGGTCGACCAGAAGATATCGAAGCCGTGTACAACAAACCATCTTCATCAGTTTCATCTTCATCACCACCCTCGATACAGTCAATACCATCCGTGCCACCACCGCCCTACTTCAAGTCACACTTCATCTCTCCATCGTCTTTCAAGTCGGCCGTAAACGAAAAGCTCGACAAGCCTGCCGTATCTCTCTTCCGTCTCAGCATCCGCATTTTCCAATTCGTATTCGCCCTTGCCTCAGGCATATCCTATGCCATCGAACTTCGCCATACAACCAGCGATGCGAGCTCAGACTTCATATACGCACAAGTTGTGTTTGGTCTTACCCTCATAGTCTTGGTCATAGACAGCATAACAGCACGGAACTACCGTATGACCTGGGTGCCGGAGTGGATCTTGGCCATCCTATGGATCGCTTGTTTCGGCCGTTTCTACACAATTTATCTGCGTAGCGATATTGAGCAAGGATACGAGAATGTGGATGTAGGACGCATGGAGAGAGCTGTGTGGTGCGACCTCATCAACGCATTACTGTGGATGGGAAGTGCCTTGTTCTCTTCATTCATGTGCTACGCTGGAATCAAAGCTGCCATCAAGGCAAAGTTGGAAAAACGGAGGCAAAGGAAGGAGGGGAAGAAGGCGGTTAGAGAGATGGGTCAGATGGAACAGGGCGTTGTCGGACGGTGACGTTGAGTAATAAGTCGGAGGCAATATAAAGAGAGAACATATAACGTTCATTACTAGTAGCGAAGGATATGCGTACTTTGGGTATCGCAAATCAACCCACTACCACTCTCACTCCCCAAACAGGACGCACTAATTATTTAGACACAAGTGATCAAAACATCTAAGAGGATGAGCGAACTTGCTCAACGTGGACGTTATCATCCTTCTCGTAACCAGAAGTCATGACGTTCTTCTCAACCACCTCAATGTCGACGTGAGCAACCTCAGCGTCATCACCATCGAAGATCTTGGCGACCTCTTCAAGAGTGGGACCACGGGTCTCGACGTAGAAGACAGTGACGAAGACGAGTTCGAGGAAGATCCAGCACTAGTTGTTGTTAGTAAATGATATTTAGAAGACCAGTCGGTGCAAAACTTACAGCGTAGATAGTGTAGAGCTTCCAAGTGGGGTGAAGATGGTCGAATCCCAAGGGGTTGACGTATTGGTTGATAGTCAGAGCAACTTGAATGAACAAGTTCATAATCATCAGACCCTTCGCACGGATCTTGAAGGGCAAGATCTCAACTGTGTAGGCGACAAGCAGACCAGACCAAGCCAACGCGTAAGCAACAGAGAAGATCCAGATCATGGCAATGACAGCCTGACCAGCGGCCTTGCTCTTAGTAGCCTCTTGCTGCGACGAAGCAATCGTCCAGACGATGAAGGTGACGCACATGGCTGCGGTAGCGGAGATGAAGAGCGGGCGACGACCAACACGATCAACGAGTAGAGCACAAGAGACTGAGACGATGAGAGAGAGGATAGTAAGTCCACCATTGATTCCAAGCTGGGTGTCAGGGTCTGTGATACCAATGGAGTTGTAAACATCGGTAGCGTAGTAGGAGACAAGACCGTTGCCGGACCACTGAGAGAAGAGACCAAGCGATGCGAGAAGCATAAGTCTGTACCGGTTACCCTTGGTCTTGAAGAAATCAAGATAGCTGGAAGTTTTCTGGTATTGGAACTCGAGGCGGAGGGTCTCTTTGATCTCGGCGTATTCGAACTGAACTGTAGCGTTATTGGCATCACCGTTTGCGTGGTACTTGGCAAGGATTGCAAGGGCCTCCTCGTTCCTCTCCTTGGCGATCAACCAACGCGGAGACTCGGGGATAAACCAGATGGCGGCCAGCTGAATGACGGAAGGTGCAGCCTGAGTAAGAGCGGGAACGCGCCAGCACCAGTCACTGTCGATGCGCTTGGTACCAAAAGTCAACCAGGTGCAAACGATGGCACCAACGTTCCACAAGCAATTGTAGACCGCAGTGACACGAGCACGATGTTGAGGGTGGCAAAGTTCGGTGAGAAGTAGAGGAGAAGACAGCTGAGCCAATGAGTTTCCAAAACCCATGAGGAAGCGTCCACCCATGAAGTAGTCGAGGTTCTTAGCAGCGGCCTGAATGCAAGCTGCAACGATCATGATAACACATCCAAAAGTAATGCATGCTCGACGTCCGAAACGATCGGCAACAAAGGGAGCGACAGGAAGCGAAGCGATCGAACCGATAGAATAAAGAGCAGTCAAGAGACCAAGAGTGTCTCCCTTCGGATCGTTGAAGTAGTCGGTCCATCGGGGTAGGATACGCAGGTTGTTCAACATGGAACTGAAAAAAGAATTAGCATTCAATTATAGGAGGGTTGCTGCTAGATAGGCTTACCCATCGTAACCGGTAGTCGCAGAAGCGATACAGATGAAGAAGGCGTAGAAGTAGAGCTTGCGGAGACCAGCATCGGACCTCCAGTTGACCTGCTTCAGATGAGGTGCCTCAGCCTGCGCGGCTTCGACATCGGCCCTGCTCTTCGCAACGGCACCCATCTTGGGTGTGAACTTCTGGTAGAGACCCATGATATCCAACTCTTAGTCCGGAGACTGCTTGTAGAATCGAAACAACGAAGGAGTGTGTGTAGGTTGGTCTTGAAACGCACAACCGTACACTGTCCTGAGCAGCAGGGTATATAAGCTCTTGACTTGTCGGGTTGGGCTGATTGCAGCTGAGCCTGGATAGATTGAACATGTTGGTGCTTCATATATATGCCTCCCAGCCTGCGAGGTACTATGCTCGCATAGGCTCTTGGCTCTAGAGCTGCGTTCTAGCGGACCGGTTAAATGCGTCTAGGGAATTGTGTGGCCCTCTACGCGGATGAACCGCTGTATGGGGTAGAGTGGGCGGCAGATGGCCCAAAACGGTGGGGTCAAGGGTAGCATGCCCAGACCACAAGCTTCGTCTTTACCATGAACGGGTCGCCTTACTACCAGTGTCAAGTCGGCCTCGGCGTGCGGGACGGCCAGCCGTCAAGAACAACAAGAAGTCTAAGCATTGAGGCTCTCTCAGCAACAGCCATCTCGTAATGAGAATGTTGGTTCTGGCTGAATCAGCCCCGGAGGCATACATTCGGTGCCACAAGGCCCGTCAGCCCGGTATGCCTCCTGAGGCTCGAGGACAAGCCTTCCAAGCTGGCTATCTTCAGGCTCGGTCATACAACCTTCTCGAAGGTTGTGATCAGCTGCGAAAGCGTCGCATGCTACGGTAGAATAGATTAACCAGCCTCTAAAGCTCACGACTCCAGAGACCGAGAACGTGGGTCTGACGAGCGCTTTTTCAGGGTCTCCCATGAAGATTGGGGCTAGTCTGGGGAATATGCCAGAGCACGCGGTGCCGAGGTGATGAGGCGTGGTTGGCGGAAACAAGGAGCCGCTCTTCCCCAGCTTGCTAACTCGGTGCCACCCGAACACGTGAACGCAGACAAGCATGGGCTAGCGCCTAACGGTAAAGAGCTTCATCGATCATGCAAACTAACCCATTATTTTGCTTTATTCCCACCGCGGAAAACTCCACATCTGCAACGCAATATCCCGCTTTTCTTGTTGCGCCATCAGCGCCCTGAGCCGTTCCCCAGAGATTTCCCCAGAGAATCTCCCCCAGAGATCAACAACAGCTCAAGCGTCTCGAGGAGACTTCACACAACATGTCGCAAATGCTTCACCATATCCATCCACCCCATCCTACTCTCGTATTGCTTGTTAGTATATGCTGCAGCAGGGTGATCCTTGGTTAGCGTCCTGTCGATGTGATTCGGCCACCGTATAAACGGGCGGTCTCGCTGACGCCTGGTCGATGTCTGCAAGCCTCCAACGGGTGGCTGGTTCTTTTCCCCATGCTAATTTCTCGACTACCACGCTCCAGTTCTCGATCAGCGGAATATGTATAGGCGGATGAGATCTAAGCATCCCGTCGCCCTTTTTGCACTGGCTAAATCGTAACAATCAGTTGGGTGCAATGCTAACCGCTCAACATAGCGCTGAATGCCATGGATTCCTACGCTGGATGCTCTGGCCGCTGTGCCCTCCCCTTTGGATCCTGCAGGAAGCCTGCATACGCGGGTGATGCGGCAATTGCTTCCCCAATGCTTGTTCGCAATCCCGAACAGGCATGCAGCAGGCCTGGCTCCTCCTGCATGCCGTGTCCGCCCACACCCAAGCAATCTTTGCCTGTGTTGGCACTCTGTCCTATCGAAAAGTCGAGTCTGAGGGCTTCCAAAGCAAGCCACGTCCAACACACCCTCAAGATTTGTGGGTCGTTTACATTGAGGGCGCCTGATAGTCGCGCAGCTGCATCGCTTCGTCTTGCGGATTGACCAGCATCGCGAGATGGGCAGGGTACTTTGGCTTGACTGACCCAAACAAAACAGCGTAAAGTCAGCCCGAGTATCCACAGCAACCACCAACACTGACCTTTACGGTCTCGCATCCAACCTGATGGGCCACCAGAGCTTGGAAGCTCCGTTTATAGTAATCATGACAAGGTATTGTACGGATGCTGGTTTAGTGCATACCGACTCCGATCAGTCGCAGCCACACATTGGGATCCCACGCTCGGACCGTCATGATTATCGGCATGTCCAGCCGTTTCTTCTCTTATGGGGAAAAAGTCAGTGGATGACAATTCGAGGATGCACGAGCGTAGGATCCCCGAAGCTTCTACCCGATACCTCTTCCCGTTTGCCGCCGTCTGAACACCACAAGCGCCACGCCACGAAACAATACAATTGCGTTTGAGCCTCGCCACCGGGGTATTAGGCTAAATGAATTCTCATCACGAGTCGGTGGCTGCTCTAATTATGCCACTTGGTAAGGACGTCTAAAGAGAGAGCCAGTCAGCTGGGTAGCGCCTATTCAAGGTGTAATGGTTTATCGCATGTCGTGGCGATCAGGAACAGCTTACACTATGGTTGGTCAAATGTCAGGTTGATCATGGCGTTGTCCTGCGTAGACGATCCTGATTCACATAGTTCACCCATTTGTGTTCCTTCTGGTTGACTTGAGAATAGGCGCCTGAGACGTTTGCCTAGAGTCTAGATGCAAGGCGAGAATCATCTGACTCCAACAACGGCCACCCTCTGATCCTTTACTGTATTCTCTCGTCGACGCGTGACAAAAGCAAGATAGATACAATCCTGAGCATGATTTGCTGGTCAGCAGCGTCCTGTGGCTCCACTTCGTCGATCAAGGGAATACGCTTAGGTACCAGGCGCTTCAAGTGGCTGTATCATGCGATTTTGTGCGCATCAGCTGATGCTACTACTTCGCGTGTACGGGCATTTCGTTCGCCTTCCTAGCGTTGAGCTTGAGTTGACAGCCGTGCCAGTACTTCAGGTTATAACACAGGAGTTTTCGATGTTTGACATGTGTCCCAAGTACTCCTTAGATCGCCCGATAGCCTGCTTTCTGTCTCGAGTAGGAAGGAGAAGCTGCGTCATTATCAGTACGGCTGTATGTCGTTTGTATAAAAATACGTATAGGCCGACATTGGCACCGAGAATTGTTATCATCTCAACTCTTTTCCTTCGTTCTGTAAGCCTTGTAGCCATGTGCGCTCATCAGGGATTGAGAAATCTTTTTCATTCGCACGAAGAAACCTGGAACTAACCAGACAGGTCTCTATGGGCTTTGTATTCAGGTCTGACGGTAGTCTCCATTATACATGGCAGATGGTAGTCTTCTAACATGTGCATAGTTCTGAGGAGCGAAGATGCTGCGATGCTCGTCGTGGTCAGCCAAGGTGGGTCCAATCAGGTTCCGTGGAGCTCCGCAGTGCATGGCATCATGACTACCCGCGTGCACGCGCCGTCATCCTTCGCATTGCATAGCCACAGTCGCCCAATGGGCCCTCTCACGCCCAGGACGTTACGACCACGATCAGCAAAATGTGGAGCAGCAACGGTTTGATACGAGGAAAGAAGTCTTGGGCCACGTTTGAAATCTTGGGCGTGCCACCAGAGGCCGACGTTGGATTCAACATGTCGCACTCGCTATCCAACCCGACAACAGTGTCGTCCGGTCTTTAGCCTCGTCGCACGTACTTTCGCTACTACTCAGCGCATCCGATACTGCAAACATGTTCGCAAAGACTGGGCTCCTTCTGCTGACGGCGGCGGCGGGCGTCGTGGGCGACTTCATGGTCTATACAGAGCCGCCAATCCCAACGTCGGCCATTCCAACCTTCGCGAACCCATCCGATGTATGCTGGGCCCATGCATGGCATCCACCGCGGCCGTACTGACAACTACGCAGGCCTCGAGCTGGACAACCTCCGTCTTCCTCAACGCGCAGATAGCTTACGGCCGCTTCACAGGCTCACTCGGCGAGCCCTATCAATCCTCCCTCACATCCGCCCGCTCCGAAATCGACGCCTTCGTCCGAACCGCCACAAATTACAGCATCCCCGCCGAGGTCACCATGGCTGACGAGGTTCGTTGTCATGGCACGACATGCATGTGAGACATAGACTGACTTTGCATCTCTGCATCTGCAGACGCCCACATACTTCTCAAGGCCAGATTGGTACACAGCCCTGCCCAGTGCGGCCAGGTCCTTTAAGGAACAGCAGGTCAGCGACCAGTTCAGCATCGTGAGGAGCGTCATTGCCGCGAGGGCTCCTACTTCCACGACGGGCTCTGAGGGAGCCGCCATGCCCACTGCACTTGCTGGACAGTGGCTTCCGGCTGAGTTTGGCGTCATGGCGGCTGCGGCTGCGGCTGCCTTTTTGTGAGGTACCATCAGATCATAGTTTACATAATACAACCCAAGCCATCACCACCGTAAGTAAGCCAGGACAAGTAATATGCTCGCGCATCAAGCCAGGTCCGAATAACCCCATCCAATCCTACATGAATAACACACCAATGGCACGCGTCGCTGTACGCATCTCGTATCCACCAAGCGTCGCCTATTCTTGGCGACCATCGTATGCCTGACCTAACACCAAGACTGCTATAAGAAACCTTGTTACAAGAACCGGAATTGGGTCACTCATGAACCAACAGACATCTCCTCCTCTACGAAAATGTCAAACTATGATCAAGCCCACTCTTTCCCTGTCTACGTTCACCCCATCCCCCAAAACCACCCTACAATCTGCGCCTATGAGCGCCGCCATTCCAACTCCTCGGACTGCAAGCATGCTGTGGTCTTCATCGGTGGACTAGGTAGTGGTCCGCATACGACGCATTACCTTGGCGCCTTGAATGCCATGTTGGAATGTGCTAGTCAGAGTAGCACGGATAACGTCAAGTACAATCTGTGGGAGTTGAGAATGAGGTCTAGTTATACCGCGTTTGGCTATGGAAGTCTTAAAGAGGATGGCGAAGATGTTGCGAGTCTGGTGGGACATCTCAAGGGAATCGGAGTGGAGAAAATCGTTCTGGTGGGGAGCTCAAGTGGTAAGATGGTTCATGTCCAGCCTCCTTTTCTCTTCCCTTGAAATTACCAAACTCCGCTGACATGCCCAAAGGCTGTCAGGCTATCATGACTTATGCCAGTACTGAGCCGGCGCCACCTCCAGTCGACGGCTATATCATGCAAGCCCCAACTTCAGATCGCGAAACAGCAGGATTACTCATGCCACAGGACCTGCTTTCCGCTAGTCTCGAATACGCTGGAGATCTTATTGCTAAAGGCAAGGAGAAGACCATCATGCCAGCCTCCTTCATCCCATCTATCATCACCTCGCCTGTGACAGCATACCGCTGGTACTCCTTAGCCTCCGTTGGCGGCGATGACGACTTCTTTTCGTCTGATCTACCGACCTCAGCTCTTCAGTTTACCTTTGGCAGACTGGACAAACCGATGTTAATTTTGATGTCTGAGAAGGATGAGATGGTTCCGCTTACGGTGGATAAGGAGTTGTTGCTGGGGAAATGGGTCAAAGCCATTCCAGAGGGTTTGGCGAGTGAGCAATCACAGATTATTACCACCGCTGACCACGAGCTCAGCGAGGAAAGAGTAGCTAGGTATTTCGTAGGGCTGGTTGTTGAATTCCTAAAGGAGCTCAACAAGGAACCTGCTGGAGCGCCCTTGAAGGTCTGCCAACCATGTATTTGAGAATTCACATTGTTCACATCAGAAGCGTATACAAAATTTGTAAGCCTATGCGTCAGCCCTCCGTTGCTCTACTCGCAACATCTCTCCTCGCCAAAGCCACCGCACTACTCATCCTCTTCACCCCTGTCCCCCATGGGCGGTAAGAATGACGTCAGCGGCCCCATCTGCAGCCCTCTCCCGTCTGCGCATGCAGCATATAGAAACCCCGCTATGTCATGCATCTATTTTCCAGTTTTCTGGTTCATGATATATTCCCGTTTCAAACCCTAATGTGTAATTCAGTATTCTTTACTTTTTGAACAGTACCCAAATTCAGCTCCAACAACCACACCATCGCGCGCTACTACAAGTCTATAAAATGGGTATCCCCTACTCCCGCCAAATCAACGCCGCCTTCGAACAAGTTACACCCCTCGTAGCCGCAGGTTTCAAAGTCCTTCGTACAACACGCGACATCTCCATTCTACTCGCTGTTATTCAGGTCTTGACTGTTTTCTTACTGGGACTTATCCTCATCGCGCTCGTTGTCCTTCTGTATTGCGTGAATCCAGATTTGGAGGTTCGCTTACACCTTGACGATGCTTGTAACACTCCGTTCGATACTGATGTCTACCAGGAAGAAAGGCAAGCTATCATAACGCCTTGGTTGCGGTACTTTGCTGGTATAACGCTTTGGTCGGTATTGAGAACTTTTCTCTCCCTTCTAGCGGTAGCAGGGCTTGCGGGGGCAGCGACATGGCACTTTTTCTTGGCGAAACAATGGGTCGAGGATGTGGAGTATGAGGGCAATGTCGATGCTGATAAGGCGCTGGAGGATCTAGATGATGATGCTCAGGCTGAAGGCGGTGGGAATGGTGGAAATAAGGGAAAGGGAAAAGGGAAGAAGTGAGAAGAATGTAGTCATTGGAAGCAGAGGAAGATGGCGCCGACCATAACTACTAGCACAATTCATTACTGTTACCGAACCAGCAAGTTCTACAACAAACAAAATAGAACTTGCCAGTCATCTGACGTCGTAAGAACACTACTATTACAACAATTTCTGCCTTGGACTATACCCCTCCCAATCAAGCAAGAGCAACGCAAACATACCACCCATAACCGGCCTAGCCTTGAAATCAATTCCATCCGGCTGTTTTCCATCATCTGCCTCGTAAAGATCGCTAAAAGCATGCGAACTGGTCGTCTCGCGCACCCACTTCGCCAGTTTCCCAATGAACATGTCGCGCGTTTCTTGGCTCGCGATGGCAGCGCAGAAGACCTCCCAGTCAGACTTGGTGTAGCCATGCCGTGTATCAAGGGGAACGCCATAGTTTTCGCTGATGGTCGGGTAGAAGGCTGATTGACTGTCGTAGATCTCCTGGGGAACGAGAGTGAGATTCAGAAGGCGGTCGTTGTAGAGGTTGTACAACAGGCCATGGGTGTCCTCGTTGCCGTAATTCAGGATGGCGTGCGGAGGAGTGGCGTTCTTGTTCATACCCAGGTCTACCCATTTGGTGATGTAATCGTGGGCTACGGCGGTATAATTTTCTGCGTCATCGGTTTCGCCGACGATGCGCGATAGTTGCGACATAGCTTCGAGTCCGATGATGCCTTTTAGTGCGAGATTGGTTTGATTAGGCAGATTACCAGCGAAATCGTCGGTGGACAGCTGCAGGGCTGGGTAGAGACTGTCATCGACGAGGTATTGAGCCCACTGTTTGAGGATGGGGTAGTGTTCCTTGATGTAGTCGGAATCGGCGGATAGCTGAACGTACGCGAGCATCATGATCACATTGTTACCGCATTCCTCTAGTGGCATAGGCTCATCAGCACCGTCTGGATGTCCAGTAGCATTGGGATAGTGCGTTCCCAAATCGTGGATAGCGGATTTCTTTGGGTAGTGCCCACTTTCCTGGTTCTCAAAGTGTGGATCGAGCATCAACTTGACCAACTCGGGGTTGGTATAGAAGAAGATTGGAGAAGCGGGATATATGACGTCGATGGTCTGAGTATTGCCGTTAGACGAGATTTCCTTGAGGAACAAGTAGTGCTTCTTCTCAGTTCCAACGAGTTGAGTAGCCCCGAATGCCTGGCGAGCAGCCAGTGTGGTAAGTACGGCATAATCATCTCCTGCTATCGTCTTGGAATCCTTCGAAATCTTATCATCGAGTTCAGTGGAGAGTTCGCTAGACTCGTTGTAATCGTTGTAGAAGAAAGACAACGCAGAGATATCATCTCCAAAATAATCCCTCCATAATGATGGTAGAATCACAAGGCCGTCCGCACCCAGAAACTGAATGGCGTCGTCCTGACATAGACCAATCGTGAATAACTGTGACTTCACGTCTGAACCAACGGAACCCATAGCTAGGGCGTATCCAAACACAGGCCAGCCGGTGTTAATGGGTCGGAACTCTGGGTCTTCCGCATTGTCAAGTCTTCCGTCGTTGTCAAAGGCATCGCGGACTTCAGAGTCCGCGCCCGACTTGTGTGTAAGACCTTCCACTGCTTTAGTGGAATAATACCAGTTACCCCATTGTGCTTGGTCGTTGTGCTCGTTGAAGACTTGTTGGTCTTGCTTCCAGACCTTGTGGTAGTTGACGCCATCCGACGTAGTACCAAAGCCCCATTCAGCTACTGCAGTGAGATCCCCAGACACCCATTCTAACTCGGTTTAGCGCACACACATACATAGGGATAAGCTAGATACTCACCAGCGCTGATGTCAGTGTAGATCTGCACATCATGTTCGGAATTGTCGAGGGACGAAACCTCGACGTCCATGTAGGAGAAAATCAGTGATTGACGCTTGTAGTCGTTGGGAGTAATTGGCGACAAGAACGTGACCTTGAGTTGAATCTTGTCGTCGGCAGTAAGGGTAAAGATACTCCTGGCCGACGTATACTCGTATGACGTTTGATTAGCCAGATCGTTGTAGCCGTCCGGCGCACCCATCCAAACGAACGTGTTCCCATCGACTCGAACTAGACCAGTCCACCCCAGCGTCTGTCCACTGCTTTCTGTTAGTATGTACTAAGCAAGTACCGTTCAAGGGCGACTTACGTCCAGAACGATGGCCATTGACCGGGCAAATATCCTCCATTTCCGCCATTACTGCCTGCAGGAAACCATGCGCTCAGATATGGGTTCTTTACTGCCAGAGGCAAAGACGGTGGGCGCGTCGGGGTGAACTTCGAGGCGGACTGGGCAGCAATGGTAAAGAAGAAGTTGATTAGTATGGCTAGAAAGAAGAGAAACATATTGGATGAATAAATGGTCGGGAAGTGGGTGGGGAAGAGCATTAGAGAGCCATGAGATAAAAGAATCATTTATATACACTAAGCATGGCTGCTCGTTCGTTTTTATCGCCTCGTGCTCATTGCAGCTAGTTTTCACGGATGCAGGCATCAGTGCATCGAAAGAGTTACTACCACCACTGGAGGTCGAAGCTTTCTTAAGTTCTAGGATCAGCACTAACTTGATCTAGTACGCAATCGAAGGCGGCTTGCCCGTTTGTATTGTATCGTGGTCACTGCAGCAGTACGCCTGACTTACATGTGGAGGCCATGCTAGACTAACTAGCAAAGGTCCGTGAGCACGAGGCTGACCGGCTCTCGAAACATCATATCAAACCTTCTGCAGATCAGTCGGCCGTAATCAGGCGACCGTTTCTATCACCCCATAGTCGTTTGGTGCAGCCTTGCCTAATTTGGCAGAGCATCCTCTGCGCGGACCTGTATGCGCTATAGGCCGGTTTGTTTCCCGAAAACTATGGGTGGCGAGGTAGAACGGTGTTGGTAGAGTTCACGATCCTCGTGACGCTTCTGCCTCGGTGTTGAAGCGCGACGAAGCACTTGTGTCCAGTAGTCGAGGGTACAAGTGACGTTGAACTCCAGGCTTGGAAGAAGCGCTACTCACGCGAGCGCACTGCTGGCGTTGGATTTGTTTGGAAGAGGAAGGAGCCAAAGCATTAGCGGCGCAGCGACACATGTGGACGTCAGATACCCGAGAAGACATAGACGAGATACTACAAAGCCGTTTGTCTTGGAGCCCAGTGTATGGACACGACGGATCGGATGGGTGTCGTACTGCGGGGAAGGCTTGCAGATCCGGAAAGTGCCATCGACATGCTTGCAGCTTATGTTTTTGGGAGCACACCCACTGCAAATCGGTAGCACGAAAACCAGGACTACAGATTTTTGGGTAGCATTGCCACGTTGTTTATATTAAGTGTCAAATCCCATGTGAGCAACACGATCATGAGGGCACACATGGCTTATGAGTAGTGATAATTCATTGTAGATGCTCATCAAAATATGAGGTCGCATAAGCCGCTAGTTGTCGCCTACAGGCATGACAAATGCTAGGATCCATGGTAAAGACCACGCGCATCAGGGGGCCAAATAGAGTACAATGTATCGTGAGACTGGCTGACCTCTCGTGAAGAAGAACGCCAGCAAAAGCAGGATCGTGAGTGGAAGAACAGCGTAGGGTATCCAAAAGCCAACGGAAGTGACCGAATCGCAAAATGCCCGATGATAAGAGAAAACCAAGGGCGAAATATAAGCAAAGAAAAGAGACGCAATGTGAACCGGGTATCCAAGGATGTAACGCAAACCGGCCCAACCAACACCAAACGTTACTCGTACAAAATATAATCATCGCTTCATGACTCAGCGACCCAAGGGCGAACCACATGCTCGAAGCGTTGCTCGCATTCGCGCAGCCACGCGCACTCCAAAATGTCATGGACATTCCAGCGCTTTTCAACATCGACCTCGAGACAGCCCCTGACAAGTGCGAGGGCGTCGTCGATGTTGCTTACTTGGGCTGCCTCTGCATTACGGACGAGCTCCGCATCCCACTCGCAATTTCGGATCTTCTCAATCGTCTTGATGTCCAGACCGTCATTGAAAGGTAGAGTCGCGGTAAGTAGAGCGAACACAACTACACCAAACGCCCAAATGTCCGCCGCAGGGGAGAAGACTGGCCCAGGTGCGTTGAACAGCTCAGGAGCCGCATATTGCAGACTGCCGGCGATAGACGTGCTAGTCTCTGCGGGGCCTATGTTCTGATTCTCACCAATCGAGTGGGGCTCGGAGCCGTCACGCTGGTCGCTAACAATAAAGTCTGCCATGCCGAAATCGCAAAGCAGAAGATCGCCGCCGTCCCTCTCAGCATCAGCTACCGTCATATCAAGAAGGCAGTTCTCGAGCTTGATGTCGCGATGTACGACCTGAACGTCGTTGTGCAGGTAGCGCATAGCCGATGCTAGCTGGTACGCGTAGCGCTTCACCAAGTGAGCTGGCAGACCATTCTTCTTGAGGCGGCGTGTGTCGCGGATCAAGTCGAAAAGAGTCCCACCCTTGTTCAATCTAGTGATGCAGAAGGTAGCGTAGTCGGTGGTGTAAACCCTCAGGAGAGGAAGAATATAAGGGTGACGCAGGAAGCGCCAGATCTCCACCTCGTGATCGAATTGTGTCTGAATCTGTTCGTTCTCAAGTTCTGATTTGTCCTGTTGCAACTTGCGCACAATCTTTACAGCATCGGTGACAGGCTTCCCATTCTCCATGCTTGTGACCTCCTTGACAACGCTAAAGCCGCCATAGCCAATCTGCTTTCCAATAATGTACTCGCTGTCGTACCCGATGCCTTGGCCTTCATCATCTGGCTCAGGCGCTTTGATAGGGGCCTCGGTGGCTTTGTAGCGCGCCAGGAAGGAGGCAGCCGGCGACATGGACGAAAGTGACCGACCAGAGCGGGCAGAGGATCGACGACTAGCCCTCTTGAGGCTGCCGTCTTCGCCAATCTCCGATCTCCAGCTCTTGGTCCGAGGTGGGCCCACGCGCCGAGGGGAGGGCGAGAATAGCGGGAACTCCATAGGGGACGTGGCGGGCATTGGCGAAA